GAAGTTTGTGTAATGTTATTGAGGCTTTTGTACTGTCAGCCTTTTGCGATTTGTATGTCACACCCATTTTGATTGTTTTTCTTTTCTTAAAGATGTGTTTTTCATATTAAGGTACTAACGAATAAAATTTAATTATTTGAAATTATATGTGTATTTTTTATTGATTGAAAAGAGAGCATGCACATCAACAGTACTGTTTGGCTGAAGCACGAATGCATGTTTCGGATGTTTTCCATTTGAACATCATTTTCATTTCAAAGAATATTTTCTATGATGTCACCTTTTCAACCCTGAAAAATAACTTGTATGTACGAGTATACACGTGACAAGCGAACTGCAGGATATGGTTCATAATTCAGAAAAGTCGGTTTTGAATAAAAGCGAGTTGAATTACAGTAAAAGTGTATTGCAAATGAAACGAACGAAGTTTATTTAAAAATTGCTGAATTATGACAAAAAAATCGTTGCATGCGAATCGCTTAGGTTTTGCGATTCAGATTTGCTACCAAGTGTCATAACTAATGACGAATCATGGGTATATGGCAAAAGCAAAAATCATTTTTATTAAAATGAACTATTTACATGCCTACATTTCATGAGTACCTCTACCTTAAGGGTAGAGTAGCAAAATGACTCCAGATAGATGCGTCCCCGCCGAGAGGAGGCGGTGGGGAACGCCTCCGCGATGTTAAAGGGGGCGGGGATGCTCACCCAGAAACATAGACTTTAATAAAACGTCTAGGTAATGTGCCTCCTGCCGCGAAGGCTTATGTACATCATTACATGGTTTTGATATTCAGGTCAATCAAATAAAAACATAGCTGTCGATGTGTTGTTTAGCTGGATACTCCTGGAAAAAGTTATGAAAAAACCAGGACAGAATGTCTGCAGGAAGTTGTTTGAAGTGTTTATAAGCAAGCCTTCGGATCAAATCCGTAATCGGCTCGACTTTTGCTATGTCTCGTAAACGCTTCAATGAAATGTATCGATCATTATCAGCCACGATACGAAGCACCTTATTCTGCACCGTATCGAGTCTCCGCAACGGAGTCCTCTTAAGGCTACAGGACAGAACAAGGACAAGCGTACAACATAGCTGGCCTGATAATTTGCTTATATATCAGGAGCTTGTTGTCCACACTCAGTTTGGAATTTCATGCAATGAGAGGCCGCTCCCGCTCTCTGAATTGCCAGACTCAAGTGCTCATGAAAATTCAAGCGCTTGTCCAGGATAACTCCCAGATACTTCGCACTTTTCTGTTCTTCCACACACTTTCCTTGAATCTTCAATTTCCTGAATATCTTCACGTCGGTGAATTGGCAAGTTCAGCCTTATCTTATTCCTCTCCATGTACGGTACAACCAACCGATCCAGGTGAATCTGTATTTAGCGTGTTGCCACCTCACTAGAGTAAGAATGAGCATATATGGCAGTATCATTTGCATATATGCCTAAATTCGTTTTTGCGAACATTGGAAAGTCATATGTATACAGAGAGTATAGGTGTGGGGATAAACAGGACCCCTGCTTCCATTGAGAAATCCGTAGACTCTGGTTTAGTAATGAACTTGCACTACCACTCTTGTGGGCTACGTTCGCGGAGTGATTTTTAGTTTTTGCTGTTACACTACCGCACTCACGATCAGTTTGATTGTCCGTGTTTCCTGGCGTCGGCGTCGATGGTCTGCTCCTCGCTCTACCCCGTCCTAGAGAAGGTCTGGTCTTTGGAACTTTCATTTCTTGTACTTTCCCCACATGTTTTCTCTCCATGCTCAGTCGTAGAGAAGAGTATGCAGGTATACAGGTAATTTCGTGGTACTCTTTACCACTTCCAAATTTCCAATATCAACGGAAAGTGAAGAACACTTCTACACTTAGAAATTTCGGAGCCTATCCAAATGTATAGTTAATATTCGATTTAAGTCACCTTCAAAGTTTTTTCCTGTTTTCACAAAAAGTCACATAAAAACTGCAGCGACTACAAATTAAACACAATCTGACACACGTCTGTTCCCAGCGACTGATCGAGACGAATTCGCCGCTGAAGCGATTGAAGTGAACGTACACAATTGTAGATATATGTATGAAAATATAATTTGGATTTATTGAAATAATAAAGGTGTACCTTAAGTTTTTACCTAGATCCTCCTTTTCTATGAACGAACCATATAAATGAATACAGGTAGAATACAGGTGAATATATTTTGTATTGACATAAGCTGATGAACTAGCGAAATGGTTAACTCTTTCAAAAACTGTGGAATAAAAAATGTATCTATACACGATAGATCCGTTATTATGGGCGAACAGATTTTGAGATGTGTTAACTTGGGATAAACTCCACTCGAGTTGTAAAAAGCCTAATGTTGCCACTAATTCATCAAATGACTTGGCTGAAGTGGAAGCTCCTCCTTGAAATCACCCTTTTTGAAGCGAATAAATAATTTTCTATCGATGTCATTGAAAACCATACAGAACGCCTAATGAACTTTACGCCACGATAGTCTGGTTCACATGTACTCGATTTAGCTCTTTTTGGTGACATTTTTCAGCCCTGTCCAAAAATTACGACCAAGGTGTCATTCGATTCGTATTTTTGCCTAGAAAGTTTAAGGAAAGGTCCGAAAACGTTAGGCAAAAATACGAATCGAATGACACCTTGGTCGTAATTTTTGGACAGGGCTGAAAAATGTTACAAAAAAAAGTACATGTGAACTAGACTACTATGAGCATAAATAACGTGAAGTAATTATTTATGTAGCTTCTGTGGTGTCCGACTGAAAGTTCGGGTTCGGTTTCAGTCGAGTTTCGGCAAAAAACGGGTTTCGGAGGGAAACCTGTCGAAAGTACGACCAAGACCGAAACTGCATTCGAGAGTTCTCGCGCTGTGATCGGTCATGTTCGGCGCGTTGAACTTCATACAAGCGACGAAGACATTTTGCCGCGTCCACGTGCTTAATCATGTCGTGACTTACTTTGTGATTTACTTTGCTTACATAGAATTCCACGAATATCGTGGAAACCAGTTACGGTCGGACCAGCGCCGGCCAGAACCCGAGTGGACTAAATTAGTCAATCAAGTTGATCCATCTCTAAACTGACTAAATAAAAAAAAACATTGATTTTTTTACTCAGTGGACCTCAATTGATCACATTGCAATTTTCAGGTAGATACCGAAAGAATAACTATGGATTCTGATGCAATTGCCATTAACCTCCCCAATGAATGCTTGAATAATGGCTGTGGCTATCGAGGACGTATGTTTATCCATCGTGGGATTTGTTCATTGAAGATTGTTTTGTGCCCACTGCGGTTTCATAATCGCTGTAATTGGATTGGTCCTACGAAGGACGCGAATGCCCATTGCTTCCAAGTACATAGTGATCTTACAATCTCGAGTACAAGGGAATTTCAGATACGTAATTTCAGCAACGTTCATTTGAAAAGTCGTGGAATATTCATCTGTTACGCTTTCAATAGGGTGTTCAGATTATCTTTACATTTTCAGTGTACAAAAAAGTTATTATGGACTGGTTGCTACTATTTCGGGGAACCAGCAGAAGAAGGACGTTTCAGGTACGAGATATCGTTCATCAAAGAGAGCAGTCATGTTCTGGCTCCACAATTTGGTACCATTTGTTGCCCTTTGAAAACCTACTATAATTTTTTTGATAAGACGTGCTGTTTGGGCATTGATTTCTATTCCTGGGAAAATTTTTGCGATGATGCCGGAACATTGCATCTACAATTTCAATTATTTGATAATACTGAGGAAGACGATTCATCACTTTTTGATGTGTTGAGGTTGTAACCGACGAGATTTGGTAACCATACGTAATAGAGGAGGCGAAGATCATTGCGTAAGCTTATCACATTCAATTTT